CGAATGGTGGAGATGGGAATGGATACCGCTCACGCAGTTATTTTCCGCAGTAAGTTTAAGAAAAATCATGTATATGTCTATATGATTCAAAAGTTTCAAGTATGTATGTTTAAAAAGTATACGTACATATGTATGTTAAGAAAACGAAGGTTGTAACTAACAACCCTAGTTTTGAGTATTTAAGTTTTAGAATGTTACAGTACATGCAACAAATAAATGAATTTTAAACATGACGATTTAAATGAGTAATTTTAGAAGGACTTTAAGATGTACTTGAATTTAAGATTTCTCACGAAATCCGTTTTAAAGTCAAATGAGATGGCCGATTGAAATGACTAGTTTTAGAAAAGCTTTTAAAGAGTATTTAAAACAAGAGTTCAAATGCTATTCCATTTGAAGGATATTCCTAAAAGGTTTTATCTTAACTAAAATTAAGAAAAGCTTTAAGAAATTTAGTGATTCACTTATTTGAAATTATTGTTACAAATTATGAAAGTATTCCTTCTTATATAAAAAAAAAAAAAATGTTCCGCATATTTTAAGAAACCCCAGTAAGTACAAGTTAAAAAGTTAGTAACAGTGGCGGCCTCAAAAGAGGGTCGTCACAATCCTTTCCTTACAGGGCGGTGATTTAGGGAGCAAGCCGTGTAATTTGACTTTCCTTTTTGCTTTTCTGAGTAAAATCCCACAATTTGGTGCTACTTTAATGATAGAATCAGTGCATATTTTTCATAATGCTGAGGTAGCATCTCCACAGCTTGAATAGTTGTTCGGCTAGTCGAGCCTACTGACAAGTAGCGGTCTGTTTCTGGCAGCCGATTTTGTGATTCAACCTCATTCTCCGAGACGTATGAAGACTCGTGTATAATGAGAAATGATGAATGAAATATTTGACCTCAACAGTTAGCCCCTCACTTTGTAGTCGATGATAATCGGCTTAAAGAGTAGTTCGTGTGCTCTGCTAGCCAAAATCAATTTCGGCTACTCAACTGAATGCTCGAGAAGCTCTGGACAAACTCAGATGACTTTGACGGTTCACGCGCGATTCTCTTCCCGACGTTCTTTGGTTCGTACGTCTCTAGACTTTGCCCCTGTTCTTCGATGTGAACCCGTCGGTTCTCAGCCATTTTTGGCTTTCTTATTGATAAAATTCCATATTTTGTAGATGAAATTTCATGATTTAGTGATTTAGGAATAGAATGAACAAAAATTTCTCTTGATTGTCTTGGATTTTGGCCGAACCCATGTTGAATTCTTCTCTGTTGTTCTTGCATGTTTGGTTGTTGCTAGGACCTACAAAACACAAGTTAGGTGAAGGAAAACCAAAAGGAAATAACTTACCTGTGAGAATGGCTGAATTTTTGGAGAAATTTGGGTTTTCTTCCTCGTTGGCCATTGTTGTCATTGGGCAGCCAAACTCCTCGAGCGATGCTCATGACCTTGATTTGCGAGCGGCTCGACGTAAGGAGTTGAAAATTGATGATGAAGGAATTTACATCTAGCGCTATTTGGACAACGACACGGCGTCTGTTGTCACGACGGAGGATGTCAAGGCGTGGTGGAAGCAATATGGCATTCCGGAACATGTGGAACTTCAGGCTCCAGACGGGAATGAGAGGGCGGATAAGCCGAAGGATGGCTGGTTTGGCTTGTATGAGATCTTTCTAATGATCAGATTGAAATTTCTATTGTTGCAGTTGGCTTCGGATGTGCTCTCCCATTTCGAGATAGTGATCGGGTAGCTGATGCCTAATTCGGTGAATAACTTGTTGCATGACTTTTAGTCGCTTTACTACATGAAGCAGAATTCTGATTCCCTCGGCCATTACATGCTTGTGGCCCGAAAGAAGAACAAATTTGACTTCGGAGAGGTGCGAAACTTGGACCGCGAGTAGAAGACCAAGTTTGTAATGGCTCGCCGACCGATTGATGCGGTCGGACTGCCTGTGGTCATCTCCTTTCGTTTTGGGCCGCCAGAGACTTGCACTTGTACTTTACTTGAATTTCATTGAATCTAACCTCTTAGTGCTTTTACAAAGCTTGCTTGGAGTGCATTGCCGAGTTTCACTGTTGAACTGGCGACTCGAATGGATCGGGTGATGAAGGAACACCTCGGTTCTGTGCAGGTGGCCTCGCAGACTCGTAATGTGAAAAAAATTTCCCATTAATTTTGACTTACTGGTGCTAACTTTGATTCTTCTCTTTGTAGTTGCCAAGACCAAGAAAATTGATACGTCGAAGGATGAATTGGCAGCTCGAATCAGAAGAGGTAAGTCTTCGGTTGGCCGCGACAAGAATGTGCTGCCGCCAAGCAAGACACTTTGCATCTGGTGAGTCGACTCATCGCTCGGCTATCCGATCCCCTTCCTCGCCGACAAGCGTTCCCCTTGCGAAAAGGAAGAGGGGTGAGGCCGAGCCTTTCACTCTGGAGCTGTCGGAAACTCTTTCATTCCAGTGGGACCAAACAGCTGCTTCTCGATTCGACGTGTTGATGGTGACTCAAGCCGATGTTGACTACTATTTCAGCTACTCGTTCTAGGAAAAAAATTAGATATTAGCATACCTTCAAATCCCTAACTTCAAGAGTTTGATTTTAAATGTAGAACGTCCATAAAATTAGTAAAATGGACAAATTTTCACCACATTTGAATGCTTAGTTGATAAAAAATAAAAAAAATAAAAAATAAAAAATAAAAACATGCTTGTGTGGGTAGTTAGTGTATAGGATAAAAAATGAAAATCTCTCCCCTTTCCCTCTTTCTTTCTTGAACGAGAAGATGCAGATGTCTCACGTTAATTTTCATTTTCTTTTTTTAATTTTTTTTTATTCTCTTTTCTTTTAATGTTTATTATTTTAGAGAAAGGGTATTTTTGGACAACCAATCAAATTCCAAGAGTATGCGCCAAAACTTATAACTTTTAAATATAGAAAACTATAAAGAATCAGCCACTTAAATCTTGAAGATTTAGTGGAAAATTCAATTATAATTATTTCCAATAATTACACATTGGAATTTTCTCGGGTGTCGCAAGGAGATTGTGGGAAAATGAGTTTACGTTTTTAAAATTTTGGTTTTTTTTATTTAATTTTTTTATATTAAAAGGGCAAAGTTATCGATAAAGAAAATACATTGCTTCTCTCTTTCACCTCGTAAAGCTCATATTCCTCTCTCTCAAATTATTGTTTCTTTATTTAAAAGAGGTTCTCGTCATTAATTAAAAACTAAAAGATGGATTCTTTTCTTTTTCTTTCCAAGAACATTACAAAGAAAATACATTGCTTCTCTCTTTTTCGTACTAAAGTAGACATTCCTCACTCTCTAGTTATTGTATTTTATCTATAATTTAAAGAAGTCCATGTCGTTAAACTAAAAGAGGGACATTGTCCGTTGACAGCGAGCCAATAGTTGCAGTGTTACATACATACATACATACATACATATATATACATATATATATTAAGTGAAATATTAACCCAAAAAGGAAAATACCTTGCTTCTCTCTTTTTTACCTTAGAAAAGTACGCATTCCTCTCTCTCTCTCTCTCTCTCTCCTAGACTTTCCTCTTCATTAGGCAGGTGGACTACAATGTTGTTCATATATATGTTTTACTGGTGAGTAGAGGGGAAGATTATCTCAATTGCTTGCACTTATTTGTGAGTCATTGTCGTTCAACCCTTGCTTGATATTTTCTCACAGTTGCTTTAGTATTTTGCTTTTCATTTTTCCTTTGGGGCTAATAAAGCAACAATATTTACATTTTTGTTTTGTTAGAATTTATTCAATTTTTACATTTTCTTGCCCAATCTATTTATTTTTACAATATTTTAATTTTACTTGTTTTAGAGATTCCATAATTTTTGTTTACCAAAAAATATAATTTTGTCTAATATGTTGTTTGGCTCCTGCTATATAATACACTCATTAGACACTATTACACATTACAATATACCCGTACCACATTCTGTAATATACCAAAACAAAGAGTGTTTGGATCGAAATATTTTTTAATTGGCTCAAAAATTTGTATTTTATAAGTTGATTGTTTTTAAGATTTTAAACTATAATCTCTCTCTTATAGCGACGCTTCCCTTACCAAATGGAGTAGTGGCCAAAATTTTGTTTTTACATTTCACTATTCGAGAACTGTACCATCTCTTTAATTATTTATAGTCTTCGTAAATCTCATACCTTCTTGCACTTCTTTTTCTTTTCTTTTTTTTTTCGCTCGTTTTATGTTTTTGGGTTAAGTTTTAGTGTCTTAACATCTGTTTTCTTTTCAGAAGCTTTGCTAGTTTTCTCCGCTATTGCATCACTTATGGGCAATCTTGATGACGAAGCCATCGTAGCACTGCGGTTAGTGTGGTTCCTTACTTCCATTTATAACTTTCAATTTATCTTGTTTTAATTTCTTAGCAAGTGTAAATAAATAATATATGTAAATTTTGGAAAATATATGCTTTTAACTCTTGTACTTGTACTAGAGTTTCTCGCGCGCATTTTTGGTTATTTTGTCCCTAAATGAAGCAGTTTGCATGTTTAATGCACCAAATAAAGTTGTTTAACGTTAGCTGCAAGAAAAACAAGTAATTTGGAGTTTGCATTATTTTTATTGATCAGAGTTGTGGAGGAGAATCAAGTAGTAGATCAGGAGCCTAAATCGAAGAAGACAAAGATATTGGAGCAAATATTGAACCCAAACCCTTGGTCACCATGGAGCAAGATATTTCTAATATCGTGTGTGATTGGGGTGGCAATCGATCCGTTCTTTCTTTACATTCCCATTTTAGACGAGGATAAAAAATGCGTGAAAATGGACGAAAAGATGAAGACTTTTGCTCTTTTTGTGCGAACTGCCACCGATATGGCCTATGTTTTGCATTTCACGGTTAGAATTGGCAGTGCCTTTGCAATGGCTAAGGACTCGTCAATCTTCGATGTACTTCCCTGGTCTTACCTTCTAATCGATATCTTAGCCATTCTTCCCATCCCACAGGCAAGGCCAAGTTTGGTATAGTTATAAGTTTTTACCTACTTTTGAATACCAACTTTTGAGAGGGTATTTTTGTAATTTGCGCTGCAGGTGGTGGTGATTGGTTTCTTTGGTAAATTGGCTGGCTTGAGATCTTTGACAGCAAGAAGGCTCCTAAACTTTGTTATCCTTTTCGCATATGTGCCAAGGATTCTTCGTATTTACTTTTCTGCCATGGATGTTGGAAGAACTTTTGGCTCGCTCACTAGACGTGTATGGGGTTAGAGGTGCCTTTAATTTCTGTCTCTACATCCTTGGTGGTCATGTAAGTATATTTTTAATATTGTATGGTCCTTTCTAGGGTTCAGTTGTTTTGAAAAAATGTACATACCCGTTTGAAAACATTTCTCAGAAATGATTACAAAAATACTGAATAGGTGTTTGGTAAAAGTATTTTAAAAAAAATAGCATTGAGAATTATATTTGATGTGCCACCAACTTTGAGAATAAAGTATATTTTGAAATGGTTTTCAGAATGTTTAAACTTTTTAAGTGGGTTTTTAGGAGGGTTTTTGAAGATTTTGGGAAGATGTTTTAAAAGCTTATTTTTCAAAAGTTTGGCCCAAAATTTTACTAAACTGCTATTAGCTATCAAAAAGGGAGATTTTCTGGTACATTTAGAGTACCAGTAGGCTAGGTTTTTTTAATAGTTAGATTTGTGTATTTTTTTTATTTTTACGTGATTTTATGTAAATATGATGCATAAAAAATCTAACCTATCAGTATTTTGGGATACCGGAGAAGGTTCCATCCAAAAATCCAAAAAAGCTTTTCCAAATGTATACTAATTTCAAATAAATCTAGGGATATTTACATTACTACAGCCTACTTGAAGGGCCTTACATTTGTATAATTTTCTTTTTTTGGGGAAAAGTCATTTTTCTTTAAATTCGTCAATACATATATGCAACAAAACAAAAACTTTTCATATCCAATCATAGTGACTTGTCTGCATGTCGGCGGTAGTAAAAACTTTTCTCTTCAAAATTTCTTTCACGAATCACAAATCCTTCAGAATTAATAATGTAAATTGCCATCAAAATCTGAATTAAAAGAACAATAATTTTTAAGAAAATTTTTGACACGTAACTTTTTGTGGGAAGCGTTTGAATTCATCCCTATTCTTCTGCAAATATAGGACATAGTAAATTTTAGAAGGTAATATATTTTTTTAATATTGGGGTATGTAATGGGTATTTTTTTGAATATTATTGTCCTTAAAAGTAATTTAATTAATAGATATTTTAGTAATATAAAAAAGAGGTCTGTGAAAAATAGAAAAAGTGAGTGCTAATAAACGCATCCTAATAATTATTATATGTCATGTTAAGAAAAATAACTGGTCAATTATAAAAAGAAAAATTAATTCATATTGGTCAAATTTTAATTTAGACTAAAAAAAGAAGTAAAATTGGTTTTTTAGTTATAAAGTAGGAAAACAGTGATTAATATCTGTCATGTTGGGAAAAATAAAAATCTCGTTTCAAATACTGCATTGTGCTAAATAAAAGACATTTAAAAAGGTGAAATGTCCTCTAGTCTAATAAATTATAATTTGATTGTATTGTATGATAGGTGTACGGTGCCCTTTATTATCTATATTCTATTTTTCGGGAGACAAATTGCTGGAATGATGCTTGTAAAAGCGAAGCTGGGTGTGTTTCTAGTGCCATCTTTGACTGTGACAAATACATCACCACTCCCTCGAGAAATTTGACACTTTTGAAAGAGAAATGCCCTGTAGATCCTCCAAATGCAGAGGTGTATGATTTTGGAATATTTGCTAACGCCATTGGGGCACATATTTTTGGAGCAGGAGATTTTCTCAAAAAACTCATTCACTGCTTTTGGTGGGGCCTGCGTAATATGAGGTTTGGAATTGAATCACTTTTGAGTTTTAAATTTTTAAGATTTGAGTCATTCAGGATTCGTTTGGTACGATAATTCAAATCAAGGTAATTCTAATCATGATTCTAGAATTAGAACTATGATTCTAGAATCAAAACTATGATTCATGATTTTGGGTTCATATCATGATTCTTAAATGATGATTCAGAATCAGGAGTTTGAATCACCTTAAATTTAAGAGGGGGGTGGTTTTAGAATCATGATTTAAGCTAGTTTAAAACATCACATCAGATTCTGAATCATGATTCAGAATCATCCAAACCAAACACTGATTTTGAATTATGATTCAGAATCACTGTAAACAAACACTAATTCTGAATTAGGATCTAGAATTATGATTCTGGATCCACTCCCAAACGCACCCTCACTGATTCAAATTAATGTTTGTAAGGGAATGATTCAAATTTTAAGTTACAAAATTTAAACTATTGAATTATTCAAATTCAATAAATTAGTTTTTTTTTTTCTAAAAAAAATATTATAATTCTAACTCTAACATAAATAGTGAAAGGGCTCACATTTTGATTTATTCTACTTTCTTTTATAGTTCAATTCAAACTAATTTATCCAAACATAAATTTAAATTTTTTATAAAAAAAATTCGGATTCTAATTTCAAACATATTTCCAAATACAAAATCAATTTTTTTACAAAATTCTCACTAATTCAAATTTTATAATTCAAATCACATAATTTAAATGTTTAAAACTTAAATTATTGAACCAAATGCCCAACATATATGAAAATTCTATAATATCTGCTCGGCCTTGTTTGTATCAGTATGAATTGAGATTAGAGATTGTAATTCAATTTTATTTAATATGAAATAATAATTCTATCCAATGTTATATACATATTTTATGACCCAATCTAGACGCATATGAATAAAACATAGCACTATAATTAACGTTTGACCAACAATGCATTTTACTTTTGAGTTTTTTTGGCACAAATCGTCATTGGACTATTATAGGCTTTTAAGTATTTTGGTTTCTCAATTTTTTATTTTTTATTTTTTTTATAGCACAAATAGTCCTTATAGCAACAATGTTGCCTACCTAGGTCCTAGAATAACTAATGAAGTAATAAAAATTTCGAGTTTTGAGGACCGAAACTCAGTAGCTCAAACAGTTAAGGGATCTTTCGTGCAAATATTTGATTTAATACAGACATGAGAAACCTAATGGACCAACAACATTGTTATATGTTTTAGGGACAATTTACTTTAAAAAAATAAATAAATAAATAAAAATAAAAAAAATAAAAAATAAAAATAAAAATCCCTGTAATCTTTAAACACGTTTTGGATATATCGTTTTGCGGCATGCTTTTATTGCGCACATCCCTTAATGTATTGCATTCCTGTTTGCAGCTCTCTTGGCCAAAATCTGGAGACAAGTGGCTTTACTTGGGAAAACTGCTTCTCAATTTTTATTTCTCTCACGGGATTGCTTATAGTTTTATACCTTATTGGAAATCTACAGGTAATTTATCGAAATTCCAAAAAAAGAAACTAAATAGAATTCATATATCAAAATCAGCTTATTTCTTATTTCTTTTCTCTTTAAAAATATAAATGTAGATAAAATCCTGATAAATTAATGCGCGATAATTTAATAATCGCGATAAAATAATATGCTTAGGACTAGTGGATCCAGAAATTTGTTTGAAAAGTTAAAGTTCTTAAAAAATAAATAAACAAATATTTAGGTGATCTGGGGTATAATTTCCCCAAATTAGGCTTTGATTATTTAATCAAATAAAATTATTTGTTGTTTTTATAATTTGTAAAATATATATGCAGACATATATGCAATTGCAAACCACACAAGCGGAGGAAACAAGAAAGAAGATGAATGACAAAGAACAGGAAATAAGATCATATCTATCAAATTATAAACTCCCTAAGCATAAGATGAAAATTGTCATGCAATTATTGCATAGTACAATTGAAGAAGAAGACGAAGATCGCTATTCGAAACTAAAACATTTGCTTTCTCTTCTTGAAGAGAGTAAAGAGAGCCATGATCGTCAGCAGACGACTGAGGTTTGAATAAATTACGAGTTTTCATCCTAATTCTATCTTTTTCCTTAATATTAATTGTACATCGATCAAATCTTACTTGACCTGTTATTAGTTGAAACATTTTTGTCACTTTAAAATTACTCGAAAGTTGTTAAAATCCTACATTCGTTGGCGATATTTGTATGAATATCCACTTAATAAGGTAGGATCGGTTTTACTAGGTTGAGTTAGAGTCAATATCTTTTGAATTTTGTATTAAAAAAAAAGTCTCATTCTAAAATTTGGTGGACTTAACAAAAATTAAATATTTTGGACTTAATTTTGAGATGAACTAATGATTTTCTTCTTGATTAAAATCCAGTCCTTTGCAGAGTGGATGACTAATGTATTGGATGAGAAGAAACTTGAGCAGAGGACATTAGAACGATCAGCAGAGCTATGGATTTCGAGAAATAAAATCTGTGGTAATAATTTAAGAAAGACGATTATGGGATACGTTCGACTGAGAATGCGACATGGAAAAGATGTTGACATCGGAAATCTACTTCCTGTTCTTCCTTTGTCTCATCGAATGTCTCTGAAGAAACACCTTTGCTGGGATACGCTAAACAAAGTAGGCAGAATTAAAGATTGCAATTTATATATCTTCTTAATTGTTGTGTTTGCTGCAGATTATTACACACACACACACACACACATATATATATATATGAATTCGTAAATATATATATATATATATACATGCAGGTGCCAATGCTTGAAAATTTGGATACAAAGGTGTACGAAACAATTTGCAACTACGTAAGGCCAAAGATATATCAAGAGAATAGTTATATTATTCGAAAGGGAGAACCGATTGGGTTTATGCTCTTCTTCACGCAAGGAGTTGTTTGGAGCTTCGAAGAAACCAACCATCCGGAGCGTCTTGAAAGAGGTGATTATTATGGCGAACAACTTTTGGAATGGCGATTGAAATCAACTTCTTATTCGGCCTTTCCAATGTCAAGTAGAAATGTGATGTCGCAGACAAAGGTTGAAGCCCTAGCTCTTACGGCCACTGACCTGGATCATGTTCTCTCCAAATGCTGGTCAAAGTTTTCGCACTCAACTCCTTCTGTGTTGGAGGGTTTGACTCCGTTCGCAATTCGTTCCATGCGAGAACTCAGGCGCCGACACAATTTTGAGTTACAAAATGAAGCTTAGCAATCAAACAAGAAAATAATTGGAGAAGAAATGCTTTCTGTTAGAACATGAGCTACAAGTCGCTTCTTTATTTGTTATTGGGCCTGACATGCTGGCTTTAGGAGTCGCATATTAATGCCAGGTTTGGTGGAGGAATGAAAAATGAATGAGAACAATGAAAAATGTAACTCATAGTGACAATGTAAATAACTAGTGTAACTTATAAGAACTGATATATAAAAGTACCAAATGAGACTTGTGACGTCAAATCACACTATCTACTTAATCTAATCTTTTTTCTCTTCCTTCTTGTTTCTTTTAAACCAATTATCATGGTAAAAGAGCTATATTTTACACTGGTTATAAATTATATTATTTGTTATAGGGTTACTGAGGTAATCATTACTTAAATATGAGAAAACAAAGCACCAAGTAATCAAATAAACCAAAGCTTTCTCTATGTTCTATTTTTTATTTAAATGGATTGCATTCAATTAAAAAAAAAACCTAATTCGATAACTACACATTATTTCAAGAACATGCATAATAAAGCCTAAACTAGATCACTTAAAAAATTCAAAAGGATTATAGTTCTGTCGTATTACATTCTTTCAATTAGTCTTTATATAGATGTGATGAATACGTCATTCATAAAAAAAATAATGAAATTGAAAGGTAATTGTTGATATTTGATTAAACAGTATTTTATATTTAATTGGGAATGGTTTACAATATTATCAATTGAGAAAATTAAATTTATCAAAAATATAATTGTTATTGTTTGTATTCTACATTTACTATATTAGTCAATTAAACTTGCCAATCACATTTAATGTATTAGAGCCAACTCAACTTGTCAACCACATTTAATATAAAAATACTTTATTTTTATGTTTTTAAGTTAACAATGATACAATTTTATGATTTATACAAATATTATTTACATATTAAATAGAAACTTTTATAAAACATTTATTTATAGTAAAAGTGTCATGCAATTAACGTTAAATATAATTACTTTCAAAACTACGTGAAAGACCTTATGATATTAAAATTATATTATATGCTTATTGTTCATGAGAAGTTTGTTATTAATCACTTAGAAACAAAAATTTCTAAAATGCATTAAATGTTTGAGTTTTGCTCATACTAATTTTAACAGTAATTATGCAAATCTCATACTTCACATTTTTATATTTGATATCACGTTGCATCTGATTTTTACAACATTTTGTTTGCTAACGAAATATTAAAAGTATTATAATGATCAACACATAACATTCTGCGTGCATAAAATCTTTTATCTTTCTATACATATATCTTCCATAATTTTCTAATCTTACTCTTCATATTAAACTATATTACATATTCGACAAGTAATGATTGGTCGACAATTTACATCCATAATCTTTTACAAATGTTAACATTCTCTATTAATTGTATTTGTTTAACTATCATATCTCCTATAAATAACTCATGTGATATAAAAGTAATTCACCTTTCTTATCTATTATCATTACTGTATGATTAAGTCAACTAAGTGTGAAGTAAAATTAGAAGTTTAAGCAATAAGCTTATTGATTCAAAAAAGAAATGCATATATGCTTTTCGTAATATTTTTATATGTTTTTATCAAATTAAATTTCATGCAATGCTTTAAAATATCCAAAGATACTAACTCTGTGACACAAGTATTTAGAATATAATACTACACGAGAGATCTTATACTATTAAAATGATGTTAGACTAGTTTTTATTAATGAGAAATGTGTTGTTGATACTTAGAAATAGAGATTCAAAAATTACATTGATGAAATGTTAAAGTTGTTATCTTGCTAAAGTAAATTTTAATTATAAAAATCTCATATTTCACATTTGTTATATTCGTCAACATGAATCTTATATCTAATTTTTATAATTTTTTTTATAAACGAAATTTTATTTATATAATATTGATTCTCATGTCACATTCTGCATATATATCTTCCATAAATGAAATCTTTTGTATATTATTTATCTTCTATAATTTTCTAATCTTATCTTATCATGTTTGTCTATATTATATATTTGACATGTTAAAATTGATTGACAATTCACATCCACAATATACTATAACTTTGATAACATTCTATATCAACCATATTTATTTAAATGTCATATCTTGTATAAAGAATTCATGGGACATACATGTAATCCAACTTTCTTATTTCTTACCATAAACGTATGTTCAAGCCAATTAAGTGTTAAATGAAATTTGAAGTAAGACAACAAACTCATTCATTTGAAACACAAATGCATATTTGCTATTCATAAAAACATATTTACATGTTTTATCAAATTAAAATTCATGTGATGTTTTTAAAATATCAAAAAATATTAATTCTACGACACACATATTGAGAATATGAGGCAGTGTGAGAGATTTTATATTATTAAAATGAGAAGTTTGTTGTTTATTTTTAGAAATATGACTTCAAAAATTGCATTGACAAAATGTTAAAGTTTTGATCATGCTAATGTTAATTTTCATTATAAAAATCTCACCTTTCACATTTGTTATATTTGACATTATTAATATAATATCTACTTTTTACAATATCATATTTATAAATGAAATCATGCATGTATAATATTGATCCCCATGTCTCATTTTTTATTTATAAAACTTGTTGTCTTTTTACATCATATATTTTCTGTAATTTTTAGATCTTATCTTATCATGTTCGTCTATATTAAAAGTTCAAAATGTTATTATTTATATTGTATATTTATTATATTAACTAATAAAACTTGTCAATCATATTTATTGTATTAAAGCCAACTCACTTGTCAACCGCATTTAATATTGATTGTTGGCATTGTATTCAATATTTTTCATATTTGTCCATATTATACATCTCATATTTACCATATATTTCATATGGTTGATATCTTATCTCTTCCATATTTGTCCACACATAACATTCATATTTATGAAACTTCTTTTCACTTTATGTCATGCATTAACTGTAATTTCACGTATCTAATATTTTAGTTTATCTGTATTTTAAATTATATTTATTAGTAGATATTAAACATTTTATATCTAAAACAGTTTTAATATCTCTTCTCTACCATATTTACTTGAAGTCTCACAATTAAATAAGTTGTTTATCTAACATAACCACTGGGTAGCGGTCAAGCATATATCCAAGTACCTTAGGAAAATTAGGAATGATATGCTGGTATATTCCGGGGAGGATCTGACTCCTCTAGGATATACGGACTCAGATTTTCAATCATGTTTGGATTCGAGGAAATTGACTTCGGGTTTTGTCTTTACTCTAGCCGGTGGTTCTATCGTTTAGAGGAGTGTCAAGCAAACGTGCACTACTGACTCAACGATGGAAACCGAGTATGTGGCAGCCAGTAATGCTTCGAAAGAAGCAGTGTGGCTCCATAAGTTTCTAATGGATCTTGAGGTAGTTACTAGTGTGGATAAGCCATTGGGACTGTACTATGATAGCAGTGCGACAATAGTTAACACCAAAGAGCCAAAATTTCAAAAATGAGTAAGCATAAACATGAAGTATCATGTGATAAGGAGTTTCATTGAAGAAGGGCATGTGGAAATATATAAGATCGCATCAGAGGACGATGTAGTTGACCCGTTCACAAAGGCCATACTGGCTAAGGTCTTTGAGAAACATGTCGAGGTTATGGGAATGCGTAGCATGTCACATTTACTCACTTAAGTGCAAGTGGGAGATTGTTAGCGTTTATACCCTTAAGAATAAATGTAACAATGCCTTTTGAGACATTTTGTCTATTAATAAAGATTTATTTATTTCATATATCTTTGTATTGTCCTCTTTACATTCATCTTAGTTGGATGTATAATAAGCAAACTGGAAGTCTGAGACTGTCATTCTAAATCTTTAGATCGTGCATGTAATGAGAAGAACATGTGGAAGACAGGAATCTAAATATGATAGTCTAAATAATATGATCTGCAATCGAGGGAATAAAGTTAGGCATTTTATTCATGTTAAGATTGTTATGTTGTCTACTTCCTAATGGAGACGGCTTGTCTTGGTCATCGGAGGGGGACTCCATGGGTAGAGACATTGATATAGTTCCTAGTGGTGGAATCTATATTGGATCGGACTAAAGATGAATTGTTTTAATTAATAATTTCATTGAATAAAACAAGTCACTTTTGACGTGTTATATCGGGTCATCTTAATCCTTAGGATGGATAATGAACTTGTATGCTTGACTTATATGCTTTGATGTACCAAAGGGAGACATCCTAACAATATGTAAAGGTACACTTACATGTACGTTGGGGGTATGACTCTTGTATGTGTATTTATTATTCATAGATATGGAATTCTCCTATAAAGAGGCAATGATATCCTTTTATACATTATCTATGGATTAGAAAATACGAGCGCTCGGCGGCCATTAGAGTACTTTGAGTTATCTAATGGTTTACTATTTATATTGGTACGAATAGTGATTTTCTGATGGAGTGGTAATAAAACATAAGATAAATATAATCGAGAAGGTAAAACAAAACTTGACCTTAAGTCGATTATGGATATCTTATGGGGGATAATACACTAATATAATGAGTCATAGATGAGAGCTTGTTTTATATATGTCCATCGGGTCCCTTTGCTAGCTTACATAATTTTCTGTAACGATACAGCGTATTTCCTAGATATTGGTAACTTATGTTATTTCCGTAATAAGGTTCAAAGTCTATGTGAGATCGATTGATTAATTCAGAAGTAATTTATCGGGTGAATTAATTGATAAATTAATTTTAGATAAATTGACTAAATTAATTTCGGGTTATTAATTCAAGAGTAATTTATCTGGTGAATTAATTGTTAAATTAATTCTAGATAAATTGGTTGAATTACTATTTTGAGTTGTATTTAATATGTGAAGACTATTACATAACAGTTTTGATCATGTAACTTCCCTATTGGGTTACTTGAGTCAAAACTGAGGCTCTGTGTAAGTTTCTCGTA